CGGGGGGGCGGGGCTCGGCAGGACCTCACCTTGGGCCGGGTGGGTGCCGTTGTCCAGGTAGGTGGTGGTGGTCTTCTCTGCGTCCTCCGTAGCTCTGGGACAGGACAGCAGTATGGCAAGGTGGGCTGGTGGGCAGCGTCCGAGCTCACAGGAGCCCACCTGCTGGGACCCGGTCCCTGCGCAGACACGCCGTGCACCCATCACCCCAAACACCGCTGCCCTCACGCATGCGTGGTGTACCTGCCCCTCACGGGCACACACCTGTTGAAGTGCCGGTGGACCTCCCAGCAGCGCCGGCACAGCAGCAGGACGCCGGACAGCACCACCAGCGTGCCGCCCACGAAGACCGACATCACCACCACCAGCAGCGCGTAGTTGTCCAGGATGGGGTCGGGCTCCGCCTGCGGGGCGCAAGGCGTCTGGTCCTGCCGTGGACTCCGGTGGCCCCGACCGACCACCCACCCTCCCCAACCCCGTCACTCACGGTAGGGCGGCCCGTGGTGTTGTCCCACGTCGCGGCCAGGGGGGCCGTGGCGGCGGTGGTGGCCGTGGCCATCGTGGCCGTGGGCTGCATTTTGAGGCGAGGAGGAGGGGCCTGAGGGGGCAGGGCCTGCTCAGCTCCTGCTCCCTGTCCCCGCCTTCTTCCACATCCCACATCAGAGCAGGAGCCCACACAGGGCGGTGACTCACAGAGGTGGGGGGGGGACCTGAGGCGGCCCCCCCACCCTCATAGATCAGGGCCCAGCGGGAACCTCCATCTCCCCATCTTTAACATGGAGGTGTGTGTGCGTATCAACTCCCTCCCCAGCCGGTGGGGCCGGCCGGGCAAGGTAGTCCTGGGCTGGGCACCCTGCCCAGGAAAGGGGAAGCACCCCTGAGAGGAATGGAGAAACTGAGGCCATCAGCTCACGCCTGCGAGACCGCAGGGCCCTCCCTGCCTGCCCCACCGGTGGAGAGGGAAAGGCCGTCCCAGCCCAGGGAGACGGGCTGGCGATGACCAGGTAGATGGGGCTGCCCACCCGGAGTCAGGCCAGAGGGGCTGGGCACTGGGACTCCAGGGTCGCGACCCAGGAGCCAAAGTCCTCCCCTCCTCCACCGAGGGCCAGGAGGAGTGAAAAGGCCAAAGAAGGCAAATCTGTTCCCAGCCCTGAAGAATCTAGTTCCCATGGCGACTGAGCGAGCAGGCCGAGCTGGGGCGGGGGGGTGGAGCGGGTTGCCAGGGAGCACCGGGGAGGGGAGGGGAGAGGCGGGGCGGGGGAGGGAGGCCTCCTGCAG